CCCGCGAACCGGCCGGCCGCCGCCAGCAGGTCCGAGCTGGCGTTGCGGTCCGGGACGAAGGTCCAGTTGGAAAGGGCGGCGGGCTGCAGGACGTGGCTGGCCAGCGCGCTGTAGCTCTGCAACGGAGGAGGAGAGACGTGCGCGGCTGAGAGCCGAGCCCCGCGTACAGGGTCCCCTCGCCCAGGGTCCCTGCGCCACCCTACTAGACGGCAAGACCGTGAGATGCGTAATGGCCTCTTGTACTTCGTAGATCTATCGCTACATCCCCAGGTATTAGAATCTGACATCAGTAGGACTACACAGAGGGAAGGAATGTATGAGATGGATGGATGGATGGATAGACACATAGACAGACAGATATACACATAGATAGATACATAGATACACAGATGGATGGATAGATACATACATACATGGATGGATACATATAGATATGGATGATAGATACACAGATGCATAGATACATAGATGATATATAGATAGATGAATGGATGGATAGATACATAGATACAAAATACATAGATACATAGATAGATATATAGATACATAGATGGCTTTACAGATAACATGGTAGGTGATATAATACAGATGATATAATATAGAGTATGTGTGCCTGTGTATAATATGATAATATAATGCAATATGCTATTGGTATCCATGAGTATCTTGTGCCACGGTGACTTCATCTGAGGAAAAACCATTCATGATGACAATGTGAAGAATTCAGTGCTGTAGTGCAAAGGTTCGAGTCCTTTCCCACTAAAGACCTGCCACCATCCAACCAATCTAAAGTCATCACTTTATCGAAGTGAGCACAGTAACGTTTACCTCGGGATTTGGAGGACCATTTGCTATTGGGGAAGCAGATTTTCACAAAATTAAAGGCAAGGATTCTATGGAGACAGTTGGTGATGAGACAGAGCTGACTCAGGGCCTCTGCATCAACTGAACTTTGAGGCACATGTTCTGGAATTTAAATTTATTTTTTCATTTTTGAATTTTGGGGGGGCCATGCTTGGTCAACATTGTATGTAAGAAATACACAAATAAAGTTGGATTGCTGTATACATATATGTGATACAGACACATCCATACATCTATATATTATTTATACATATATACATACACCCATATATACAGATACAGATACATATATATGAATGTATGCATGGCGCCTAAGGTTTGTTTACCTGCTTTATGATTGTCTCCAAGGTAGCATTTCCAAATTACAGGTTAGAGAACCTGTTTCCCACTTGGCTGTGTCATCGAGGGGCAGGGCAGCAGATCTATGTCAATCTAAGCTTGAGAAATACTGCATACCTAATCCCTCTCTCCTCCCTTCGATAGCACACTGAAGACTGGAGAGCCCTGACATGAGGATGCTTGCTAACTTCATTTAACCCAGAGCTACCCACGGCCCCTGTGCTGCAGGTCTGCTTGAAATCCGGCCTGTCTGTGCCCATTTCTCTGCGCAGCTGGGTTCCACACAACGCTCTTTTGAAAACACTAGAATGGACTCAAGTCTAAGGCTCCTGCTTATCATTACACATTTTTCAAAACTCCTCTCACCTCTTGAATTCTTCCGTGAAATAGAAAGAGCCCAGGTGCAGCGCTGAGTGGAATGCCTGCGGTTGTTGCTGTGGAATTGTTGCACATGAACCCCTCAAGTATAATGTTTAAAGAAAAGGAAATGGGTTTAATGAAACTAAGGACAAGTACCTGCATCTTCTCCTGAGTGACATCCTCAGACAAGTGCGCAGAGATGTTTTTCAGTAATTCCACTACGAAGGCGATATTTCCCGACGTAGCCTCGGACGATCTCACAGCCTCGATGATGCAAGAATAATCCAGGGGGCAGTGCTGCAGGATTCCCTGCACGACGTTCTCAATGGGCTGTGGAGCTCGGAAGCCAAGAATGTGTAGAGGAATAGACGATGAGGCCAAGGAAAGCTGTGACGCTGCACTCGAGTCCTGTTGTTTGAAAATAAAATAAAACTAAAGTTGCTGGCAATTTAAAAAAAATGGCAGTGTACCTAACACGTGTCAGACTGAGAAAACTAAAGGCTCGGAGAAGACAGGTAGAGACAGACGTGGTCCTGAGGGAAGTTGGGTGCTGAGAAGTAAAGGCAAGGTGAGATCACAGAGAGAAGATAGAAGAATTGGTTGCTAAATGGAAGGATATAAAAGCAGGTGCTTTAACTGAGATACGTTGCATTCACTGATTCCTTTAAAATTCCCTTCAGATCACATATTTCGCCTTTCTTCTGGTCAAAGTATTGAAAGCACTAGGAAAAATATCAACTATAATTTAACTTGAGCTGGATGAATTAGTCACTAGTGTGAGAAGCATACGTATTTACCTTTAAAAGTGACAGTTAAGTCCCTCCCCCATGGTATAACCCCTGCTTTCACTGTATTTGATGTCAGTATAATTTGTGGAGGGGGAAGGGGGAAAACAAAACGTTTAAATAGGGATACAGGTGGACCCATTGCAACAATGAGATGTACAAGTCGTTATGTCGAAAACGAACTTTACAACTTTGGGGGGGGGAGGGAGAGGTGGAGCGAGAGGATTGGGTGGGGGGCGGGGGGAGGATGGGAAGGGATGGGAAGGGGAAACAAAGGAGGAGGCTACAATGCTTGATAAGAAATGTACTCACTATCTTGTCCATGTAATTGTAACCCCTCTGTACAGTATTTTCACACACACACACACACACACAAAAATGACAGTTAAGCTGGGCACCAGCAGCTCATGTCTGTAATCATAACTACTTGGAAAGTTAAGAATGGGAAGATTGACATTTGAGGGCATCTGAGCTGAAGACTTCACAAGACCCCCTTCTAAACACATAGCTAGGTTGAGCAAAATGGTATACACCTGGCATCCCAGTTACACTGAAGTTTAAATCAGGAGTATCACAGTTCTAAAGTTTATAAGACTCCCTCTCAACAGAGAAAAGGTGGGTGCAGTAGGCCCCACCTGTCACCCCAGGAACAACAGGGAAAATAAAATAAGTGAATCAAGTCCAAGCACGAACTCAGGCAGGAGGTGAAATCCTGTATCAAAAAAAAAGAACTAGCAAAAATAGGGTAGGGGGCATGACTCGATGGTAGAACACCTGTCTAGCAGGCGTGAGGCCCTGAGTTCAAATTTTAGCACACACACACACACACACACACACACACACACACACACAAGCTAAAATTTAACCTCTAATGACCAAACAATAGCATAAAGAAGTTTCGAGTCCCCTTCCCTTTAGGAAAGACACCAGAAGAAAAGAAGTGGAAGGAGTTGGGAGGGAAGAATCTGCAAAGAAAAGATGGCTGGATGAAAGACATATTTGGCCCAGTCTAGATTTTCTCAAGTCCTCCCTAAGACATATTGTCATGCAGAATGGATCCAATTAGAAGTGTCCCCACTGATCCCGGGTGATTAGCTCATCTCCCCAATGCATCCTCACCTTAAAAAGTGCTTCCACTGATAGGCTGGTGCACGTCTCGGTGGATTTTTGCCACGTGTTTTGATGACACGTGAACCCGACTTGTCCTCGGAAGTGTTTAGCACAGGGCTCACTGCAGGTGGAAGAGGAGACACAGGACCCGTGGCATCCCTCTGAAAGAAAAACACAAAACCAAGTGAGACACACAACTAGGATGTCCACAGTCTAACAGGAGCATCTGATTCATTCTGCAGGGATATCTTTTGGGGGGACGGCTCCCCAGAGGTTTGACAGTAACATGAAACTGTCTGTACTGCAAAACTTAGAGCTCATCAGTGGATGGTGAAGCCGGAGGCCAGGCCCAGTGAGCGCATGTGGAAAAGGAAATTGGCAGAGCATCCGGACAGGCCTAAAGCAGGGAACAGTAAGAGAGGAAAAGAAGGAAGGTTCAGGTTGTAAAGACAGCATGGGAGTTACCAGAAAATTCTGATGAGATTCGTTATTGACAATAGCATAGAATAAGAACCAGGAAGCTTTCCTGCAGAAAACTTGGTGAAGGGAATTCTTGATAAAATATAGGAGGCCCATTTCAAATACTAATTTTCTTTTCAGATATGGTCAATTATTATTATTCCAAATAGTCATCATGAACCCTGAACTAGCAAATCCTGAGCCAATGTGACAAGCTCAGGCTACCTACTATAACATTTTCATCAACGAGTCAATTCCTGGGTGATTTCATGTGTGCTTCTGTGTGAGAGCACTTTTTTAATGTACATGATCAATTCTGATCACAGGCAGAGCTCTTGCATACATAAGAAAGGTTTATTTCCACCACTATCTTCTCCAGGAAGCGCACCACAGCCTTCTTTGGCTTATAAAACACTGGACAGGACTATTGTGCCCTGTGGTCAGGGATCATTTAAGCCAGAAAAATCACCATCCATATGCACAGGGACAAAAAATCGTGACGCTACATTGACTGGGAGATGACAGCATTGCTGTATGAGAAAGAAGTCGGGTATCTCGCTGTCCGAGCTCAAGGGGAAACTTGCGCATCTGGCAATTCAACTGTTCTCTGCTCTCTGCCTGTCTGTGAATGACCCCCAAACCTTGAGGACTGATGCGTGCATTACTAACCAATTTCAATAGCAGGCAAATCTGGAAATACAGAATCTGAAGATCAAGAGGATGGATTGTAAACTTCAGCTCAGTAATACATAATGTATTCGTGTCTACATGACCCATGAAGTTCTACTCCTTGTTTATCTGAAATCTAAATTTAGTTAGGTATCCTATCTATTTTTTTAAATTTGTTTAGAATGGCAACTCAAACTGGAGAGTAAAGAACTGAGGCCCTGAAGCTGTTCATGGAGCTCTGTAGAACCTACTCAGTTGTGCCATTCTTACTGTGAAAGCAGCCAAAGACAGTATGCAAATGAGTGGGAATAGCCATGGGCCACACCAGTGGCACCTGAAATTTGATCCATGGGACAGAATGGGTTAGCACCAGACAAAACACAGGGTCTATGAATACGTCCACTGAAGCGCTCCTAAGAGAGTGCCATATCACTGTGACAGTGAAATTAGAAAGCAGCAGATGATGCTGAGAGCTGTAAAGTCATGGAACTCTATCACTGTATGGCCGACAGGCTGAAAGCCCAGGGGTGTGGCCATGTTTATTACCTGGGCAGCTTTGCACAGTGACTCTATTCCCTGAAAAAGGAATCCAGTGGGTTCACTCATTTCCTTGATGTCCACCAACTACACCTATTATTTGCTGCAAATTAGTTCTTAATCTCTTCATTTAGCCGGAGATGATGACACAGTATGTTCCAAGCCTTACACAACCTAAATGTTTGTGTGCTCATATTCATCATCATGCATAACATGTAGATCCAGGTGACTACCTTTCTCTCCTCTGCTTCTCCAGTGCCATATTTACATAGGGATGTGTTTGCCATCCAAAGTATACCTGACTGTGGCCGTGCAGAATCTGGTTACTCCTGCTGTTACATAATCTCTGTAAATTACTCCTAAGGATCTCCTCCTTCTTTTACTTCCTATTTATGTAGAGTAACAAGTCTCACCATTTTATTCATCTCACTCTGCTTTAACAGACATCATGCACAGTTGTCCCATACATTGAAGCTGATAATACTTTTGAAGGAAGAAGGAAAGTTATCTTGCCCTTTTCCTGCCCTGAGAGCTCATTAATTTCAACAGATGTATTTCCCTTTGGGGGGTTGAGAATAAACAGCTGACTACCGTTCTAAGGCACATGTGAATATTCATGAACTTGCTTCATTGGCTATGTGATTGATAAGGTATCATTGTAAGAAAATCTATCAGGGCTAGCGATATGGAGAAGGTATCCATGTGTATTATTTTGTTGGTAAAACTCATGGTTCAGGGACATGCCTGTAACATCCACATCTTCCCTTTCTTCTTATCCTGTCTCCACATCGGAGCAAAGGGCCTAGGCCCACATACCTTGTGTCCTTCCAGGCTTAGCATTTCCAGGCCCTGGGGGACTTTGAAGTTTCTCTCCATCCTGAAAAATATAAATTCACAAGGGTCCACTTTATTGAGGGACTCTCCTCTCTCTTCTCAGCTTAAGAGTTCCAGGTAAATGCGAAGGGGAAAATGTGTACAGGACTAGGAAGAAAACTATGGCAGATCTATGGGATGGCACTGCAGAAACTTGTTGGAGGAACATGAATGGGAACACGCTGTCCTCCAGGACGGAATCTTGGAGGTCACAAACTCACTCTGAAGGTCAAGTTCGTAGATTGACACATCTTTTGTCAAGTTTTAAGTCTCCAGGAAGAGCTCAGCGATGACAATTGTATTCCCACCTGTCTCTGCCTGTACACTGGAAGATGAAAGGTAACTAATCTATCTTCCCACCACTATCTAGAAAGGAAAAATGAGTAGATACCAGAAATATACATTGGATTTCAGTAATGGGATCATAAATCTCTACTTCTATTGTACTGTGTTATCTTTCAAAACAAGCCTCATATTATAGATAAGAAAATTAAGTGTCAGAAAAGTGGAACGGCTTGTGTAATGAGTGAGAAGCAACATTAAGATCTGAATCTAAGTTGTTCTTCTGTGGGGCCTCTACCGTCTCTTGTGCATCGGGGCCTGTCCATGATCACTGAGGCTCACTTAGAGATGGGTCCACTGTATTGATGCTCTCTGGGAAAGTTCTGACTCCCTCTTCACGTTGCTTTTCTAAGTTTTCTGCTCTAGAAAGCTATTATCAGTAAGGATAAAATGACAGGCAGTTGAAATTCCATTTAAAATCGGTGTGGTACTTTATCCACATTCTAGACCACCAGAGGAACAGAGAGCTCTCCTTGGGAGATCTCATAGGGGTGGATCACACTTACTTTTGGGTGAATCTTGGATCTGGAATGGGAATGTTCTATGGCCAGAAGAAGCACCAAACAGCAAAGCGAGGAGACCTGGGCCTTCATTTTTGCACATTAGGATTTTAACCTGTGACAGGGAAAGAAGGCAGAGTCGGCCTTATGTGTTCACTTCACAATACCAGCAGAGCACCTACCTAGCTGGCTAAGCATCTGCTTCCAGAGGGTTCCTTTCTTTTCTTTTTTTGTTCTTTTTTTTTGGTCGGTTGTGGGCCTTGAATTCTGGGCCTGGGTGCTGTCCCTCAGCTCTTCAGCTCAAGGCTAGCACTCTTATCATTTGAACCACAGTGCCACTTCTGGTTTTCTGAGTGGTTTATTGGAGATAAGAGTCTCATGGACTTTCCTGCCCAGGCTGGCTTTGAATCTCCATCCTCAGATCTCAGCTTCCTGAGTAGCTAGAATTACAGGTGTGAGCCACCGGCGCCTGGCTCTTCAACTGCTTTCTTAAACAGCAAAAATAATTCAAACATATCCTACAAAATTAAGGAGTGGGAGGAGTCCAGAATTTGAACCCAGTGGCCATGCTTGAGAGCCATGCATCCTCTCTACAATGACACCTCTAATCTATGGGGCTACTGACATTCAGGGCTGGTTGGTGTTTCATTGTTGGGGCTGTCCTGCGTATTGCAAGGTGCTTCACGGCATCCCCAGCCTCTGCCTAACAGATCCCAGTAGCAACCCCTCAGTCTGCAGGTGCAGTAGCCACAAGTGTCTCCAGGGACACAGCAAAACATGAAGGAGAACTACTGCCCTGCACTGTACTGCTGCTCTATGCATCTGCAGACAAGCGGCAAAGTGACCTGGGTATGTACCATTTTCTGCTACTGGGGCATGCACTGAGACTTCCTCTCACTGATGAACAAACCAGCATGCAGATAAAGAGGAGGTGGAAGAGCTCAGTAGAAGAGCATTTACAAGGCAATTACAAGGACCTGAGTTTGGTCCTCAGCTCTTTAAAAACAAAAGCTAAAAAAAATTACAGATTTTAGAGCCAGTAAGAGGTTGCATATTTGCACACTGATGTTCATTGCTGTACTATTTGCCATAGTCAAGTTAGGGAGATAACCAAGATGCCCTACAATGGATTAGTAGATTAAGAAAACTGCAAGAGAAAGAGAGAGAGACAGACAGACAGATAGATATGATATGATATATAAGATAGACAGATATACAATGGAATCTTATTTATCCTTCAGGATGAATCGTATTGTGTATTTGCAAGGAAATGGATAGTCTTAAAAAATAATTACAGACAAAGGGTGCATGTTTTCTCTCCTACATGGTAGTTAGATCCCAAATATAAGTATATGTAAAAACAGGAAAACAAGAGCTAGGTTACAATGCTATGGCTACTGTTTATAAACTATTTGTACTAAGCCTGTTTTCGCTTGCATCTCATGAAGTACATGATTCGATCTACCAACCATTTTTCAAGTGCCTCTTACTTGTCAGAAAGCGCACCAGGTGTGAGCAGTAGAGAACTAGCAGTGTCTACCGGGAACACAGCCCAGCCCCGGCCCAGGTGAGAGGAGGGCTCACATGGGCGTGAGGCCTAGCTCTCACCAGTATAGACAGAGACAGGGCTCCATCTCTATCCAGGGAGCAGCCACAGCCCGCTGCTCTGCCATCAGGCCCTTCCTGGGTGGGACTGAGCCTGAAAGAGATTTCCATAAGCCCAAGGGGCCTTGAGCTGAAAAGAGGAGCCACAGACCCCTATAGGGGAGCCTCCCGCTTGTCTTAGGGTCTCAAGTTTCCCGTGAGTAAACAGAGGAAGGACAGGCAATGTGTGTGGTGGTAGTGAGTTTGCAAAAATGTTCAGAGGTGTGCATGGAATCATGGTCCTGTGGTGTAGGTGGAAAGTTCTTGTGAGCACGGTAAGTTAATGAAATACACTGTGAGCAGTCTTAAGGTAGATCCTTAACTGATGGTGCGTTTAACACCCAGTACTTCTTAGGCCCCAATAACAGAAGGCACTGAGTCACTCTCTGTGGCTTTCCTTTGCTGTACATGGAGTACTTGATACAGAACAGGGAGGAGGAAAATGGAGAGGGAGAGGAGGGGAGGGGAAAGGGAAGGGATGGACAGGGAGAGGAATGGGGAGGGGAGGAGAGGGAGACCTTACTACCCACATGAGTAGGTCTGCCGTCTCTTTCTATGCTGTCTCTACAATTTAAGACACTGCCGTAGCCCCCCACCCCCAGGGTCAGAGGCTCTGGTGTTCTTAAACATTCTCTCCCATCCCTCCTGCCTAGAAGTGAGTGTGTGAAAGAGCTGGGGTTCAAAGCTGCAGTCAGCCTGCCTGGGTTTTGTTGGTTTCTGCACATGTTGGATGGAATTCTCAGATGACTCACGCAGAGGAGGGGCACTCCCAACTCAGCTGAGCATGCTGGGCCGGAGCTGGCATTGGGACTCCCAGGAAAAAAAATAAACAAGAAGAGGTGAGCCCAGAACTGCAAGTGCAGTCAATGCAGAAGGACTGCAGGGAATGCGGGCTCTCACACTTCCCAATGTCAACGCCTTACAGTGACAGCCTGGGGATATTTGTCAGCAAAGGGAGCACTTTTAAAGAGTATGTTCTTCTCCACCGATCCACACCGCAGCGGGGTGAGAGGTAGCCACCCCCCCCCCGCCCGCCCTTCCCCGTGCTCTGTGAGCCGTGCGGGCCGTGAGTCACTCACACATGCTTCTTGTCTTAGGGGCAGGACATCCTGAAAGGTGAACCGAGGGTTAAAGAAGGGCGAGGGACTTGAGAACAAGGTGATCCAGAGTGGTGTGTGTACACGTGTGCAGGGGGCCCTCTAGGCTTCATTCCATCACCACTCTCCACTCCAGTGGTGTAATGAGAACTCCGACTATAAGATCAGATGGCTAAATGAATTGTGTATGCGTTTACCACCCAGAACTTCTTAGGCCTCCATAATAGAAGGCATAATAGAAGTCGCTCTCTGCGGCTTTCCTTCGCTGTAGAGGGGGTACTTTAAATGGAACGCAGAGGAGAAAAATAAACATTAGAGACTTTAGAAACATATTATCTCCTCTTTGGCTTGCAGCCAGCTCTTTGTAGCTCAGGGTCTTTTCTGAGATGCCTCTCAGGATTCTAGTTGTGATAGGTCCCGACAATCCCATCCTGACATCTCACCAGCTATCCTGACTCCTCTCAAATAACAGTAAAAAATAAACTGATAAAGCCAGCAACTGTTCTGCCCCCTGAAGTACCAAAAAAGAGAAGGAAAAAAACAACACCCAATGATACTGCACTAGAGGCCCCACCATGGTTCAAAGAGTCTATGCGACATAGCCATCCACACAGCACACGCGCCAACCTCTCAAGACCAGAGCGCTGCCCTTGAAATGGAATTTGAGAATAATTGGAATTTTGTAAGTAGTTGTACAAAGGGGTTTCGGTTCCACATGTCATTTTCTTAGCGCAATGTCTTTGGATCATGTCACCCCTCCGTTATTCTACCCCATCTCCCTAACCCTACCTATGAACTCAGTGTACCCGGTTCCAAAGAAATGTTTTCTTATTATTATAAAGACAGTTTCATCAATATCACTAAAAGAGAATTTACTTTTAACTCTCGCTTTGCATTCAATTCCATCCAGAAGAAAGGAGTTTAATTTGCCAGGACAGAGGACAGAGCAAGGACAAAGTCTAACTGCAGGACAGAGGACAGAGCAAGGACAAAGTCTAACTGCAGGACAGAGGACAGAGCAAGGACAAAGTCTAACTGCAGGACAGGTTGTCTTGCATTTGCACTCCTACGTGAGCAATTTAAGCCTGTGTAGCAGATGAGCCCACGAAGAACAACAAATGGGAAAGAAACCAAAAAAAAAAAAGATTTAGGAAATCCTCCAGCTTTGAGCTAGCCCATTTCTAAATGGTGAGAAGGATCTTGCAAAAAAATAAAAATCAAGCACGGCTGACTATCCCATCATAAACCATACATCCCCCCCCCCTGCAACTAAGTACAGAAAGACTCCTCTCTTCCCAAAGCAAAGAGGCTGGTGTGGGCTACACACTCACAGTGTCCAGCTGGTGTGGGCTAGGTACTCACGGTGTCCAGGAAGCAGATCTAGAAGCCCAGAGACATAGGGTCATCCAGCCGGGAGGTCAGTATGGAGAGCAGGCCCCACCACCCTGCCCACCATCACCGTGGCCACACTCACACCCAGGCTCCCTTCAACGACCAGGACCCATCTCTAGAGCAGGGAGCTCAGGAGGACCCAGTGAGAACCAACTGGCTGTGGTAAGAAGCCACTCTGACAGCACTGAAGCTGCCCCGGCTCTGAGACTTGTGTAAGAGTGTGATTCATCCCACCGTGGGCCTGTCAAGCCTGCCTAAGAGAAATTACAGGTTTCTCTTGTCTGAAGCAAATCTATTAAAGTGAGTCACTTGTTTGTCCTTTGATTCTTCATTTTTTATCTCGGACGATTGCATGAGACTGCGGGTTGCACCCGCGCCCACGTAATTAGGATCGGAGAGAGCAGATGCCACGGCGCGCCCCGATTGTGGGTGATGGGTCCCAGAACTTACGATGGCCTTTTGCTAGTACCAGTGGTGAACTTGGAGAAAGCGAACTGAGAAATGGAGCAATGAATCATGATCTCATCACTAACTGGCCCCCTGAGGTATTCATGCCTGGAACATGCCAAAGAACCTTCCAGTGGGAGTGAGCAATGCCAACCCAGAAGGCACAGTCTCTCCTGTGGGAAGCTACGTGACGTGACTTCAGCCAGCGCAGTCGGTGCGAATCATTCTGTTCTCACACACACACACACACACACACACACACACAGAGTCCCACTCATCCTCATTCTGGTGCCTTCCATCCCCCAGTGTCTAATAAAAACATTCACTGGGATGTCACCAGGGGAAATGGAGAGGGAAAGGTGGATGAAGGAAGAGGAAGGCTGGTCACACAATTTTCAGCCAGGAGGGTCAACGTGTGTGGAAAATAGGTCAGTTCCATCTAGGTCACTAGTTAAGTACTGGGTCATTACAGATTTGGAAAAACCAGTCTTGAGTAGTTATGTAACCTTTTATTGAACTTATTTGCTGCACATAGTCTATGTACATGACACCTTATTCAGTCCCTGGAATGTGCAAGTGTTAACTTGGTAAGTCCCAGAAGTAAGTAAACTTTTTTCCTAAAGGTTCACAACCCTAGCTAGGAAACAAAAACAATACATACATACACACAGACCAAAGGAAACAAGCAATGTCACACAATAAATACCGATGCAAAGTGAGTGGCATTATTTGTAAATAAGAAATTTCTCAAGGGAATCGCACTTCTGGTTTGACCAGAAGGGAAGAGTTCCCAGAGAGAAGGAGAAACAATGAAGCCAGCTTTGAAATGTGAGCCAAAAAAATGGAGCCTATGATGTATGTTTTTATAATTCCCAAGTAGGGATTCATACATCATGATGGATAAAGGTCTCATCCCACAGCAAAGGCATGGAACCAGCCCAGGAGCTCCACAACCCATGCCTGGATGAAGAAAATGTGGGATGTATGTACAGCAGAGTGTTCTCCAGCCACCAAGAATAAAACCATGTCATTTTCTGGGAAGTAGCTGGAACTGGGGATACCTTGTCAAGAAAGGGAGGTCAGGCTCAGAAAGACAAAGACTGCATGTTCCCTCCTATGTACAATCGAGACCAAAGAAGAAGACACCGTGATTGTGGAGGGGAAATTGTTTGAGGTGGGACCGGCAACTTGAGTAGAGGGGAAAGAGAAAGGGCAATAAAAGTGTATGATATGGAAACAAATCATGTAGATACCTGACAAGAGAAATAAATCATATGTCTACATGAAAACTGTCCACAATAAAACCCATTACAAACTCCTAAGAAGGAAAGGAAAAGAGAATGGAGCATAAGATAAAGTAATATAGAGAGGATGGATTTTACCAAAGTCCATTCTATGCATGTATGCACATATCACAAGGAAATTCCTTTGTCCAATTAATTTACACTAATTAAAAAGAAATCAACAAAAACAAGGCTCATTCAACAGGAAGATGATCAGATTTTGCTGTTTGAGGACCCCAATGTCAAACAGACAAAATAAAACAGTCCTTTTATTTGGAAGTAGATTAACTAACTGGCTGGCTGTGGTGATTGATTGACACCTGTAATTCCAGCTTTTATGAGAAATGGAAATCAGGAAGAAGACAGTTCAAGGGCAGACAGGGCAAAAATAGCTCGCGAGACCCCCAGCCCCATCTCAACCAGTACAAAGCTGGTAACATCCGGCTACCAACCCAGCTGAGTGGAGTATAACTAGGAAGATCTCAGCTCATACAGGTTGGGTATAAATGCAAGCCCCTGTTTAAAATAACTAATGCCAAAAATAGTACTAGGGGCATGGTTCAAGTGATAGCTGCTGCAAATGTAAACCCTAAAGTCAAATCCAAACACTACAGAAAAGTACATAAATAAAATAAAAGCTAAATTTTAAAAAAGATGTCAGCTAACTGGCTCCCATGAACAACCAAACTCACATGTAGGGCCAAGGCGCACTGTGTGTGTGTGTGTGTGTGTGTGTGTGTGTGTGTGTGTGTGTGTGTGCACGCATGCACGTGCACATATAGTCACTAGTGCTCAAATAGAAAAAAAATCGCCTCATATTTAATGCAGTTAATAGTTCCTAAATGTTCCAGGCACCTGTGACTCATGCTGTAATCCTAGCTACTTCGGAGGCTGAGATCTGAGGATCATGGCTCAAAGCCACGAGACTCTCATCTCCAATTAACCTCAAAAAGCCAGACATAGAGCTGTGGCCCAAATGGTAGAGCACTAGCCTTGAACATAAAAGCTTAGGGACAGCACCCAAGCCCAGAGTTGAAGCTCCAGGACCATAAAAAAACAATAATTCCCACATGCTACTCTAAATACTTTACCTATATTTAATCACTTAATCTCAACTATAATCTTACGAGGTAGGCTCTCTCGTCCTCAACTTTTAGATGAGAAAAGCAAATCCCAAGAAATTATAAACGGCTTTCCCAAGAAGGGTTGTACAGTAAGTGGATATCCTACCCACCCATCTGCCACAGGCTTCATTAACACCTGTTTCTCCTCAGACTACCTTCCCAGGTCACTTCCTCTGTGAGGCCTAAGCAGGACACAGGACGTGTATCTCTCAAGAACTGACCAAAATGAAACTCATCTGCACCCTTGCTGGACATTATGCAGGCTGTTGCCACGTGGGTTTGAGAGAGGGCACGGCTTCTTCGAGAGACACCCACATCACTGCAGTGTCTCCAGCAGACTCCATGGAACTTTCTCGGTGCATTCTGAGCCCTGAGTAGGCAGGTGTCTTCCATCAAGCTCCTTCAGGCAGGGGGTGTGCCTGAGAAGAGCAGTTTCCATGCCAGTCGTGATTGCCCCATGCACAAGGCAAAACAAAAGAGAGGCGGCTCCCTCCGTTTCTCCCGTGCTCAGAGTTCTCAGCTGTCAAAGGAGACTTCATCTTTAGAGTTTGTCCAGACTTCCAACCGCCCAACTATTTAGCTTTGGGAGATTCTCTCCTCATTCCAGTGCATCGCTGTGGGCAACTGGCATTTCTCCAAGCCTGAACCTCTGCAGGGAGAACGCCCAGGCCCAGGCCCATCCCACCTCTCTCCCTCAAAGAGACCCTAAGGCCGTACGGACAAAACCATTTTCTGTCTGCTGAGAAGGGTTCTATTGCTGTCCAAGCAGGAGCAATGCTGTGTTTGAAAACAGCAGAATAACAGAGATAACGCTTCCGGTTGGTGAAATTTTTTTCCCTCCACTCTGATCATTAATATGACATGGTCTTTTCAAGCTCCTCTACCTAGAGGAAGACTCTTGACAGCAAAAACAAGAAGAGAGGGAGAAGCACTGCTTGACCACAGGTGCGGGCCCCACCTTCCCATCCGCACACAGCAGCAACAACGCAGGCCTCCTGGTCATGTGGTCAGAGACGGTCCCTCTGCCTCTCTCTCCTCGATTTCTGCTGCCTCTGAGCTGCCTTTGTAAAGGCTTCTCCTCCCCCACAGCTTCGTCTGAGCCCTACTTTGAATGTTGTACTCACTTACATACATCATTAAGAAAATGAGGGACTCTGTACTTGAAATAGGATATCTCCCTCTCCCTGCCCCAGGTTCCAAAACACATCTTGTTGGTGACAGAAGGTATGCGCAGAAGGCCCTGGGCTGCTGCATAGTCTGGAAGACAAAGTCAAACACAGCCTACCTCCCTCCGGCTCCATCTTGAATCCCCGTGACTCACAGAGCTCTAAGCTTCCACCTTACCTTAAAATAGGCATCTCACATTGGTCAAGATAGACTGTGTTCAGAAACTGCTTTGTAAAAGGGCAACTCCTTTATGCTTCTACTTAAAGATAACCTTTTTTAAAGTTCAGAACAAATAAAACAAAATAGGTATCTTTTCTGGCTCAAACGCTCTATGCCTTTCACTTGGTTCATGGTCAGGGAAGTTGCATTGAAGTCCTAGCCAGGCTGAGTGTCTAAGCCATTGAACTTCAAAGGCATAGACTACCCTGGCAGTTGGAATTCTTTTATCAGAAGAGCCAATGGTGACCTACTTAGAGTCAGGCTCAGCTGCTGGTAACTATTCATGAGGTCCCCTCCCATCTCAACCCCCAGAATCCAGCTAGATTATCTAGGTCACCTTGCCAAAGTAAGCCAGAGCTCACTTCCTGAGGATGAATGAAACCCAACAGCACAGAGCTGGAGGCACGGATAAAACCCTGCTCCTCCTGTTCTTTTGAGGACAGCCAGGGTAGCATATTTGTGGCTGATGGGCAAGAGATGGTGAGCAGCACGGAGCACCTCGGACGGAGGGCTCTGCCCCCCTTTCCACACTGCACCCCCTCCTCCATCGGCTCCAAGTTGTGAGCCTTCCTCAAAGTTCCCGCAGGCAAGAAGACAGGAATACAGGCGTGGTTCTTTGGGTTCACCGTTCCTGGAATGAACGGCCCTGTCAAGGAGAGAAGAAGCATACCTTCAATAAACAAGTAGCGAGGCCCCAACACTTCACCGCTGTATTGTAAGTCCACTCTTTCCTGAACAATAATAAGCCTTCGGCAGAGCCTCTCGGGCAGATGTGAACCACTCTCTTCCCTGTAGGCTCTGAGGTAACTCGGGACCCAGGCTTGCTCTATTGCCTACCGGTGCTCAGTGACCAACTATGTCTTTCTCTAAGTTGGACCACTTCCTTTGAAGTGGAACTTTTCTCTGAAAAAAATCAACCTCATTACTCTATAGAAGATCCTGAGCTGTTCCAGAAGGTCCCAGAGGCTGCTGCAGCCCACATGCTCCAAGGAGGGGGCAGGAGGCGCTCTCTGCATGTCTAGGGTACCACTAGTGCAGCTCTGTTTCTCTGTGTGAATCTTGCACTGTGGAAATTGTCATTTCCACAGATTCATTCGCGTTTCTCTGAGTTCCCTCACCATCTCCATCTCTGAGAGTCTCCCTGTGCTGATGGGTGTCTCTGTTGAGTGTGTCCTGTCTCCCTCTCTGTTCATGTCTTCTTTCTAGACTTAGAGGAGCAGAAGACACATGATGGGAAGAGTGTGTCTGCATATGTCTGTCTCACTGGCTCTTTTCTCAGCTCTCAGTCACCCATGTCCCTCTGTCATCCTGTCTTTTAGTGTGTTTCCCCTGTAGCTGCCTTTTCTCATTTTGTTTCTCTATGTGCTACATAAACATCTACCTTAAACACAAATGTAAACATGCTAAACATCTCCTTTAAATGTAAATTTAAATGAACATCTACCTTAAACACAAACTTCGATGCCAAAACCTCTCACAAATACTATTTTGTCAGAATTTCTTCATCTTGGTAAGGCTAGAAAAATGCAGGAGGCCACAGTAAGAAATTTAGAGAGGGGCTGGGAATGTGGCTCAGTGGTAGAGCGCTTGCCTAGCATGCATGAAGCCCAGGGTTTGATTCCTCAATACCACATTAAAAATAAAAAAAAGCCAGAAGTGTCGCTGTGGCTCAAGTGATAGGGTGCTATCCTTGAGCAAAAGAAGCTCAGGGACAGTGCCCAGGCCCTGGGTTCAAACCCCAGGACTAGCCAAAAAAAAAAAAAAACCAAATTTAGAGAAAATGTTGACATGCTAAAGGATATGGGGGAAAGGGGAGAACAAGAGAGGAGATATGAGTAGAGGGGACAATGAAATAGAGAAGACATTGGACTTGGCTTCCTTAAACCCACCCAAGCCAGCTCATAGCCTTCTCTTACATGCCTGATTGCTTTATAGGAACAGCAAAAAAGTTTCCCCAAGACCCAGATTTAGTAAAGTGAGCACAGTTGAATGCCAGTGGCGCTGAATGCCTCCAATCCTAGCTACCCAGGAGAATAAAATACAGAGAAGCATGGTTTGAAGCCAGTCTGGATAGTTACGTCGGTGATACTCCATCCCCCATATAACCAGCAAACAGCTTGACTGGAAACACGACTCAAGAGGTAGAATACTGGTCCTGAGTAAGATCTAAGTTCCAAACCTTGGTACCAGTAAAAAGAAAGAAAGGAGATACAAATTTCTAACCATAACAAGGTGAGAATAAATTGTACTAGAGAACCTTTTCAATTATGAAGTGTTTTCTAACTACAATTAAATTGTAGCTGTTTTTTCTAAAGAAATGGCATATATACATATACATGTATATTACACATACACACACACACACACACACACACACATATATATATATATATATCACATACATGGAGACCTCCGGTTTATACTCACCTCTCAGGTTAGGGATGAAGCCTGGGATATTAGCTTGGCCCTTTGGTGGGTTTACAAGTCAATTCAGAAGAAAAGCTCTGATGAAGACAAAGTATGATTGTATTTATCATGACTAGTCCAGTTGCAATTATCTTCCTGACTCAAAACAACACAAGGAATTATGTCCGCAGCAATTCATGTCACCCTTAAACTGCATCTCTCTCCTCTCCTCTTTATATTAGAATAACGAACAACGTAAGAACAGGCTGGCATAAGAGACTCCCCCCTAGCCTAGCCTGGGCCTCTCTCCCTAAAGAAGCTCCTTGGGGCTTTGAGTGGATGAGTCAAATCATCATGGCAACTGACTCCTCTTGAAAATTG